CTCGAGTAAATTTTTTTGTCATCAATTTTTGACCCTTCCGTACCCATCATTTTTCCATTTGTCTAAAACGCTAGCATTATGAGCTTTTATGCTTCCGTTGTCATAGCAGCTTTTTTTTATAAGGAAGAGTTTTGTAAAACATTTTAAGATCAAAGGTGTGGAAATGGATACAAAGCACATCAACACGGTCAAAAACATGAGAGAATTCGTTATAAACTGTAGAATAGCTAGAGTTCAAAAGGGGATTTTCGCTAACTGACTTTGCAGTTGGAATATTATATGCAAATATTTTCACCAATTTTTGACCGTGAAGCAAGTGGATCTTTCGCTAGCGTATACATAGTTGGGATAGGTGTAGACCAGTGATTCCCAAAGTGGTCAAGGTGGACCCCAGGGGCCCACGGGAGACTCGACGAGTGTCTACCTTGGCGTTAAAAAATATGGGGGTCAACGAAATGTAAGTGGGGGTCCACGAGAATGTATCTGGGTTCGATAGTAAAGAACCAAAATGGTTGCTTGATAGCCTCTTTATTTAACTTTAATTTTTTTGAGTGGCCTTGACGCACTACTGCACTTACCGTCACTTTGTATCTTCATACGTGAGGAAGCCTTAAAGGCCACCTGCAGACTAAAAAGAAACGGATGTTGGTATAACACTGTTGAGGCGAGGCGGAAATTGCTGACGGCAGAGATTTGAGCACTTGTGTCGATAATGTTGAGTTCGCTGAGGGGGCATGCTGGTTTAATTCCAGCACTGAGCCCGAACTCACACACTGACTCTGGGCCAGGATATGGGATCTCTTTCGAAGTTAATGGGGATAAACTTCACTTTTCTCTTACGGAAGAGTTTCCAGCTGAAGTAATTGCAATCCTCAAACCCATAGACTACATGGTGGAAAAAAAGTGGAGGGGAAGAAGTTTACGTGTCTGCAATGACAGCCAAGATACACTTAAGGCATTGGCCAGCCCTCTATCTAAGTAATTCCAAACTAGATCGAAAATGCAAGTCCCGACTAAATTATGTTGGCAAACATAACCAGCTCGCTTTACTCTGAGTGCCAGGTCACTCGGGAGTGCCTGGCAATGAGACATCTGACCATTTGGCCACAGTTAGCTTAGACAAGGCATTCCTCCATCCGCAACCGGTTGTAGCACTCCCCACTTCGACCATCGAAGCCACCATCAGAAACTGGGTGAAAACTTCGCTCAGCAATGACTTGAGAGTCATAGAGGGGATGCAGGTGGGCAAAAGTCGTGTTGCCAGCCAGGATTAAAATTTTCATCGTTCTACGAGAAAAGCAAGGTTGGGAACCCCTCGTGTAGACGCAGTTAGTCCTAGACATTTTCGTAAGAACTTGTTTTGTAGGGTGAATATTTTTTTTTTGGTGGATGACTTTGCATAGTTTGTTGTGGTTGTGCTACAGTACACAATATTTTATCTCACTAACTATTTCTAGATGTTTAAACTTTTTGAAGGCGAAGACCAGATTTAATGTTAGTAAGGTATTTACCAAAGCTTTATGTTGTTGCCTGACGCTTCAGTGACCATGGAGAAATTATTTTTGACTGTTGAGGAACTGTTTATGTTTCTCCAAGAATTTTTAAATTGCTTACTTGCGTTAAGGTTGTACCGTTTAGCTGAATATAATGTATCTTTACGAAATCAATAATTGGAATTTTCATTCGTACTGTCATCAGTTAACTTTAAAAAGGAAATTTAAAGCAATTCTCCTTTGTACTGTCATTAGGTATGTAACTTGATAATGGAAATTGCGCATCATTATTACATAGGTACATCCCAAGCTAATAAAGGCGAGGTAAAAAGAATTTGTATTCAAGATTTTTGATTTTGCTTAACCCTTCGGAAGGCTACGGCATTCAGTAGAGGACTTTCCTTTGTCTATGTCTGAGTCGAAAGCTTTCAGGATTGCTTTCAAATGTGGATTTTAAAGTGGTCCGAAATTTTAGTTTAGTTAAATAGCTTTAGTTAATAAGCTTTGAAACTTTTTTTGAATTTGGTCACTTTTCTGGTGATTTTGGTAAAAAATAAAAAAATGTTTCAACACTGAACACATGTAAGTAAAATATAGTTACCTAAAAGTATACACTACGTTGCTTATGCATTTAATAGGCTTTTCGGTCTTTTTCTGACAGTCAGTTACGGCAACTTATTCATATTATAGTCGCCCTTTTAGCCGCAAGGTGGATCTCAAAGGTTGACAAAATAAACATTTGAATAATTTGTGTTTATACTGAACATATTATAAGCATTTATTTTTTTAATTTTTATCCGTCATAATCAACAGTGGTGCTAGTACATTCTACACATTAGGGGTATTCTCCAAATCTTGCAAAGCCATTGCACGTAGCACGGATTGCATGGATTGCATAACTTGCAAACACACAACAAAATACATGGGAAACAACATTTCCTATCGCTGCAAAATATGCAACGTCGAAACCCATGTATATATTTTGCAAAATAGCATAGCAGGATAAGTGCGAACCTGTGCTAGTTGTTTTGTTGTTGAAATTGCTACATATTTCTCTCATTCCTCTCATCTCGCTCACTTCATTTTTTTTGCAGTCTCTTGTTATTGTATTTGCTACATAATTTCGCTGCTTGCTATCCATGCATGCTACCACTTTGCAATGGAGTGCTCTCGTACTCGTGCAAGCCTTCGAGAATACCCCTATTGTGATATATGTTTGCAATGTTTTCTGCAAACATTTTTGTTACAATGAATACAACAAATTTTTGTTTTGTTATTCCTGGTACATAGTTATTCCTCGTTTCGATTGCTGTTGCGTTTCTGGCTCGCTTCTATATAAGTTTAAAAACATCATTTTTTTCTGAAACCTAAGAAAATTAATATTATAATAGTTACAGTAATGTTTACGCAAAGTATACTTTTTAAATTACACATGACAAAATACAAAATAACAATTCAGATTTAGACCCTTATCACTAACTCATTTTTTCAACTATCTTAAAAAAGTTTCGAATTACTTTCAAGGTTTTTTTGGGACACCGGAAGGCGTGATGCGGAAATTCATATGTGAGACACCAACTGTCAAATGCAAATATCAAATGAACGATATAACGCAGCAAGAACCGTCTAACTGTGAACCATGCCGCATCTCAAAACTTACAAAAGCACTAAATGGCAGTGGCCGGTTACCACAATTAGTATTTGAAAACCACAAATTAAAATGTTTGCGGCTAATTTGCCGCGGCGCGCCCTCCGAATGGTTAAATATATTAATATTTTTAGAGAATTTATTTTATTTCTTTTCTTTTGGAAAGTGAAGTAAAATCAAGTGACGAAGTTATTAGTCTTTCAAATTGCCGAAACTAAACTTTTTTGATAGGCAGGCGAGTTGAAAACAGGATTACCTACTCTGTTGGTTGGTTTTTTTATAAGGGCGAGGCTGACTGACTTCTTGTTCATCAGTACGTTTTTTAAGTACAAAGTTCTATGGCCTTCTAGTTAAATTTTTATTAATGTTAGAATCTTTATCTACAGTCTCATTTGATGTATTGCTTAACAGTGGAATATTGTCTTCCTCGAATATGCTAAACCTATTTGTAATTGTAAGTGTCCAAAACTTCTTTACGTGACCTCTTTTTAACCGTCATCCATTTCCATCTCTTATTTTATTTCATCTCTTTTTCCTACAACGAACATTTATCTTTTGCCATGTGCCCATTTTTACTAGATAGAATACATACAACAGTTTTACCACATTTTAAGCACCTACTTTTAGATTTGCAGGCTAGCATTGTACGCCCTAGTCGCCCACACTTAGTACATTGCCTTAGTGGAGGTATATAAAAGTCAACATTCAGCTTTGAATAGTCAAAAATTACTTATTTCGTATTTCATTTCCAGCAAAACCTCATAGGTAGGAATTAATTCATTACTTATGGGGTCTTTGCGTGTAAAACGCCTAACTGACTTTATCGGAATATTTGATTTCGCTTCTATAAAATATTCATTTCCTTAATGACAGCGTAAATTTCAAGGCATGCCATAAGAACAAACGATCTTAGGCCTCTCTTAGTAAGCCTGTCTTCTAATATACTTAAAGTTATTTACAGAGCAAGTGTTTTTAAATGTGATTATATAATGCCCTACCAAGGTATGTATAAAGTCGTAAGTCTATGATTCTCAAATCTCCTATCTGGCCGTACAATGTCAGTCCTGTTGTTTTATCACTTTTCAAAATTGGCGGTTACAAAGTAGTTTTTGACACAATTTACTTTACCTGATTCTCGTTTGGTTTTGCTGGTTCTAACGGGACCTCGAGAGTTTCGCACTCTAACATCCCTAACCTCACATTCCATGTCTGTGAAAGTCTCACTAGCAGGGGTTGGTTTTTAGGTTTTTTTTTGAGTTCTATGAGCGCACCGCCCGTGGGCAGTTCATAAAATCCAATAACCTTTCTAGTAACAATTCTAGCTTTTTTCATAACTCTACATAACTCTAGACGCGTTAGCCTGTGCCGCCGCCGACCTATTAGTCCGCGACGCCACTTTGGCTTTAAATTTTGTGATTGCCAATAGTGGCAGCTTTTTTTCTATTTTTAAACGACACCTCGGAAAAAATCTTTCAATTAATCTAGAATACCACAATTTTGTAGCCAAGAAAGGCTCACATGCAATCGAAAAATGCTTAACCCAATATATTAATTGTTTTTCTTTTTATTAATACGCGACGAGAAAGAAGAATTACAAAATTTGGTTAGAACACCAAACATTTAAGCACCCGCTGCACGCGGTCCACACAAAAAGACTTTTTTTCACTTTAGATACACAAAAAACGTGGGTCCTGTACGGGCACTAGAAAAAAACACGAATTTATTTCCGCGACGATTCACTCGCTGCCAGAATCCGGTAGTGAAAGTTTGCCTTCAGTTAGTTGCATATGTGTTTCTGTGAAGCTTGTGTAATTTTATTTTTTAAAAGCTTAGGTTTATTTTTCTCTTTTTACTTGCAGGTTGTAAAATTAAAGCTCTTCGTGCAAAAACAAATACGTACATCAAGACACCTGTGCGCGGGGAAGAGCCTGTTTTTGTGGTGACAGGTCGTAAAGAAGATGTAGCCAAAGCTAAGCGCGAGATACTGTCTGCGGCAGAACATTTCAGTTTGATCCGTGCAACTCGAAAGCCATCCGTTGATAGTAATTTAAGCGCTACGGTTAACAGTAGTATTGATGGCAGCAATTGTAATGCAAATAGTTTCGGAAAGGCGCCGCCTGGCCCACCATCTATACCGGGACAGATGACTATACAAGTACGAGTACCATATCGGGTGGTTGGGTTGGTAGTAGGCCCTAAAGGAGCAACCATTAAGCACATTCAACATCAGACTCAAACCTATATTGTTACACCTTCCCGTGAGAAAGAACCGATATTTGAAGTAACTGGCTTACCGGACAACGTACAGTCTGCACGTAAACAAATCGAAGCCCATATTGCGCTACGTACCGGTCATATGCCTCCTACCGGTAGTAACTCTAACGCTTTAGCTGCTCCAATAAGCTCTTCAAATGAATCACTGGCTGTACATAGCCTAAATGTTTTAAGTCAGATCTTAAACGATCCCTCTATAGATTCTGATTTACTTGTTTCACTTTATAAAGCTGACACACTGAGATCTGCATTTGATTACGCTGATGAAAATTGTGAACTTAGTGCTAATAAAGCAGGAAATATGAAAGGTTTTGATGCACAGGATAATAATAAGCTAAATTTTAAAATGGGCTGCCAGGATAGCGCTTCTGTTGAGAAACAGTCATATATGGCTCTACTGCATTCTGAAAACCCTCAGTTGCGAGATATGCGCAACACATCACATCAAACTAACGAATTCGTGAATTGTTTGAGCAACAGTTGTAATAATCTCAAACAAATAAAAAGTGATCAAGAGTCTGACTTACTTACTGACGTAGACCATATTCATCACGTGCAGCAGAAACAACCTTTATATCCATCATCACAGCCAATACTTAGTTTAAGCCATCAGCTGCAACCAGTATCCTCGTTATCATCACTTCCCCCTTTACAAAATCATGCACCATTTGTTGGTAACGTAGGATCGTATACGCAAACATTGAATTTTGTTAACAATGCTGCAACCGTAAGTTACAAATCTCAAAATACTACAGCGGCAATTAATAACACAAGTACAGGTGCTTTGCCAATTCTACGAAATGGTACTCATACCAGCAATGGCATGGCACGGTCTTGTTCATCCGCTTCCTCGACTGCGTCATCAAAAAGCGCCAACAACAGTGGTGGGAGTGGTAGTAGCAGTCGGCCAGAACTCAGTAACATTTGGAAAAATTTAGGCGACTCTCTTGATGTAGATGAAGGGATCGGTGATTCGCCCAACATTTGGACTTTGCCTACGCCATTGATACCATTGACAGGATCTCATTGTTCGCCATCGACTTCAATTAGTCCGACTGACTCACTTTTGGGTGAAATATCCGCACCACATACTTCTCATCAAAACAACGTTGGCATTAGCAATTTAATAAATGAATCTCATGAACCGATTAGTAAGAAAAAATTATTGCAACAAAACCATACAAAAAATGGCGATGCAGTTCAAGCGCTTGTTAATAGCTCCGCAATCCAACGGCGTGATTGTTTGGTATGTAATAGCAAAGAAATAACTGCTGTATTGGTGCCATGTGGCCATAATATGTTTTGTATGGAATGCGCTAATCGCATTTGCGAATTAGGCGATGCAGTTTGCCCCGTTTGCAGTTTAAACGTCTATCATGCTATGCGCATATTAGCATAAAAAATTGCGCGAATTAAAAAAGTAAGTAATTGACATATTTATTAAAGTAATTTAATAGTTAAATGTGACTCCTTTTACGAATTGCAAGAAAAACAGTCACGCGAATTATATACAAATAAACATTTACGTAAATTTTTATCTTTAAAAAACAATAAAGTGGCATACGTACATACCTACCAATAACCAAAAATATTTTGAATAATGTCCTGAATAGCTACTGTTTAGATATAAAAAAAAAAACTAAAATTTTGTCCGATACTGTTTTTAGGCTGATTATAACCGTTTTTAAATCTTTTGGCGGAAGTGAGAGTCAAAGAAGATATTGAAGATCAAAATTTCAAATCGGGGAAAACTTAATACTTTGATGCATTGTCATTTTTTTAAGCATCCTCTTATGGAAAAATTTCCTAAGCGAAAAAATATGATTTTTTATTTAATTATTCATTTAATATTAATTTAGATCAACAAAGTTGCTTAAGGCATGTTTACATCATTGTAATTTATGGCTCATTCGTAAATTATAGGCAAACCATGCTGAAATCAAGTTATTCCGCCTTGTAAAATCTGCCGATAGGTTGAAATGAGATAGTTTATAATAATAAATCAACCAAATAAAGGAAAAATCGACTTGATCACAACTAAGTAATTTATGCTGTATTATGAACATAGTTTTAGACGAAAGAAAACTCTATGGTATGGTGAATCCATTACATCCTTAAAAATGTATACACAAAGGTGAGCGATAGAATAGTTCTGCTTTGACGAGATTTCAGGTTAATTAGCGTCGCCAAAATTCAAAAGCGAAGATTTTTTTTATTTTCCTAACATAATAATAGGTAGACCATGGGAATGGACTTACAGTTTTATTTTTATGAGAAGCTGTTTTTCATGGCAGAAATACATTCGGAGACTTTTCTTTTATTTTTTATGCTTTTCGGAAACGGCTCGATCCCAGGCCCTGCGGAATGGTAATTCGCACTTCTAACCACTACACCACAGTGGCCTATAAGCGCAACTTGCGTAATTAGTAGCCTCCGCATAGTGTGATAATTACACCTCTAATGAAGGCAAAAACTGTCGACAGTATGTGTTTGGAACGAATTTCCGTCATCCCTTGTCGAATTGAGTTTCGAGATAAACCGGTTTCGCCGTTATGCCTTCTTAGATTTGTGGTGACTAATATTTAGGTTAATTTTTATGGTTTGTCTTTGCGGGAAGGTGGAGATCAGTCACCCTCTGTATCCTATTCAGTGTTGCCAGTTTGCGGGCTTTCGCCCTTTTTTCGGGATTTTATGACTAAAAAGGGCGAATGGGATTTTCTGTCGAAAAACGGGATTTTTTGCATACCATACCAAGCAAGAAAATTTAGTAATTGAAAAACAAGAAAAAGCGGCTCTCTGTGGTAAATTAACGTCATTCATATGAACCCTATCAGCGGAACTTCATTCACTTTAAATTTGAAATAGCAAATTTATGAGTTATACAGAAAGTAGTTTGGGATAAATAAAGTGATAGAAGTTAGAAAAACGTGTGGGGAGCTCGAGAAATTATGTATTTTTAAAACATTAGAAAAATTTCCAACCATTTATTCTTTTTTCAAATGTTTTGAGTTTCTAGATTCTAAAAAGTATTTTGAGTGATTCTATTCTTTGATAATGCAAATAGGAAAACTTGTCCATGGTAAACGTTTGGGAGGTAGTCGTTAACAAAGCGGCAGTAAACAGTTCACTGGTTACTGGCATCAAAACGAAAAAGAGGAATAGATTAAGCGAAAAAGCATTAAATATATGTAGTCAAATCTAATTTACTTAACAAAAAATTTAATTGTGCGACTTAGGGCCAGTTTTTCATAATTTAAACATAATTTAAACGCCCGAGCTGGCTGGTTTAAACTAAGATTAGCAAATGAAATGTCAGCCAACTGATCAATTTAAACGCGAAAGCGAATGAAAAGGCTGTTGTATAAATTATTTTTGTCCTTAGAAATTTACAAATTGAGAAAATAAAATATGTAGGTATATTAAGGCGTGTCAAATTGTATGGGAGATTTTTTCGACTATGTGCATACTGCATATACATGCATGTAATCCTAGTCAACTTTACCGAAGAAACCATGGCTCTAAAACCATGGCGAAAATAGGGTTTCTTAACACTTTGCTGTAGTGTCGTAAAGAATTGCTTAAATTTTTTACAAAACACGCTGTAGAAGTTTCTTGGTATCAGGAATCGCATTTCTGCACTTCTCTATTTCTTAAAACTTCCACCAGAGGGCACAACAGTAAAAATTTTCACATTTTCTTCTAAACCTATGTATTTTCGCAGTATGGCAAATTCCTAATTGATCTTTGACGCATGATTTCCTCGTTGCTTGGAATTACAAGTAGATTCCTCCTTTGCTATGCGCGCATAGTCAAAAAAATTGGCCCGCCCTAATGTATATAAATCCTTTGTAATATTGCATATCTATGTATGCACATACTTGTGTTTTTCATTCGAAAGCATTTTAAGTATAATATATACATACAGCGCGGGATTTCTGTAATAACTTTAGTACAAAACGGGATTTAGGTTGTATTTAGGCGGGATTTTATTAACCCAGTTGCTGGCAACACTGATCCTATTAGAAGTTCGAATAGTTAAATGCAGAAATATTTTAGATGACGAAACAGAAATTGTGTTTGTTGTACGGAGTGTAAAATAATAAGTGTCGCACAGGTTGTCTTGAAAAATAAGGAGGTCCTATATAGATCTTGCGAAAAAGTATTTTATTGTTAATTATGCTCATATTTAAATTTTATTGATTAGTTTTGCCAGCAGTGTAAACTTTCGGAGATAAGTCTTTTTCAGGTAAATTTTTTCGTAGACTGCATAAAAAAAGAAAAAAAGAGAAAAGCTATAGTCACCAGTTTTGAGTCTGTTCGATTGCTAAGTATCCTTATGCTGGACCCAAAGTGGAGGAAAGGTTACAGAAGATATGGAATAAATTAACCGACGAAGACTTGCCGTGCCGCTTGCGGTTTTGTCCCAAAGTGATTACCGCTCGTAAACCCAAATAAAGGTTAAAATTTAAAAACTAATTAATAAAATTAAAGTAAAATCTGTTGAAAATTAACAGTAAAATACTTTTTTCGCAAAAAATTACCCTTTCATTTATCAAAAAAACCTGTGCGACAGTTATTATTTTACACCCTGTATATCAAACGAAAAGCAAATTGTTTCTGGAGAAATTATTTATAGCCAAAACGCAAGTTAGGCAAAACAAAGCCATTTAAAGATTTATTCATTTATAAATCTGTTTTTGCAGTTTTCTTTTATAAAAAGCGTGTCTTTATCAAAGGCTTTCAAATCACCAGGCAAGGTTTATAAATCAGAGGAAAGTATTTTATCTGCCTTTAGTTGTTGTAATTGTAACGAAAATTTTAACTTTTACCTGTGCTATTTGTTTTGTTGTTTTGTTTTTCACTTTCGCCAAAAAATTTAGTGCAAGTCAGCTCGAGAAACTATCGATCCTCCTTTTTAGTTTTTAGTTGCTAAACAGTTGGCACTGTAAACCTTTTTATATCAAACTATTTTGTACACGAAGCTGTAATGGAAAGTTATTAACACATTAAAAGTTATACATTCATTAGTGTGTATAAATTTTTATACTATTGAATCAATATAGAAAATTAAAGTATTCGTTTTAAAGTTATCTAACAATTTCTTGATGAAACTTAATACAAGTAAAGATATATATTTATTTTTTTAAATTATATTTTTATATATAGATTACTGAAAAAAAAAAAAAAAACTGTTCAACTAAGGTTAAGACTTAAAAGTCATTCGAGAGCATTGTATGAAAAATAATATATATTCTTCCTAGAGCTAATATATATTAATGCAAGCAATTCAGCAACAAATTTTTCGATCAAGAAATTATACCTTTTGTACGACAAGTAATAATGCGAACCTAGAAATAATTTAGGTAAATATAATTATAAAAAAAAGTTATTTTTTAGGTATATAAATAAGTGTAGTTGAATTCATGGTGTGCACAAGTTTACATATACAATATATAATTGAAAGCAAAGTATTGAGACAAATACTTAAATTTTTATAATGTACTTATGTTGAAACTCATTCCTTTACAGCAGTTATAAATTAAAAATATACTGGGATCCGCCATTTGCATTAAGGAATAGTTATAACAATAAAATAGGAATGTTTAATTTTTACTACTTTCGTAAAAAAGAATGTTTCTTAAATAAAAAAGGATCTCTAACATATTAGAATGTAAGGAATAGCAATGAATATTTCATGTTAATTATTTTTAACAGCTTCTATGGTGAAGCTACAAAAAATTACATATTTATTTTGGGTTTGTTAAAAATTTACCTAATGCTATAAGAAATTTATTTTGGTTAGCAGTATAATTAGATATACACAAATGTGTATAAATATGCTATGTATCAGCGTACATATAAAAAATACATATATACATATAAGGCTGCCATGATTAAGGCATTGTGTTCAAAGTTCGATTGCACAAACTTAAAATAAGGTCGATTATGCAGTGTTGAGTTTTCCAAAAATTTTGTACTGAAATGTAGATCAACAAGCCGATACCTTGGAAGCTTTGGAACAAATACGCAAACTTGCATAAATTTAATTTTTTATAAAATGCTTTATAAGTTCACTCGTTGTTCTATCTCACTGAAAAAAAATTATATCTTCAATGTATTGTAATATTTCAGTGTGGTTACTTTAATCAAAATTTGTTACAACAGCCTTATTTCTGAAATCATACGTGGAGCGTACAAAATTATTTCATTTCATTTCATGACGATTACGTTACGTTTAATTTTCAATCAAATTACGAAAAAATATGTATAAGTTATAAACATTTTCGATTTCTGGCGCATACTAAAAAAATTATACCATTCCATAACTGCCAAGATTACGTGGGCAGTTTTCGTAGGTTATAGTTGAACAGCCAACACACGCTGTTGATAGGGCAAGTCAAGGCTTTTAAACTTTCGCCA